GGAGGGAAAGTTGAAGGAGGGAAATGGTAAAAGTTATTGTGTACAGGTGCAGATATTCTATGATCAATAGGATCATTATGTATGTATATCTAAAATGTACTAATAAAATGATTTAAAAAAATAAAATCAGAAAAAAATAAGTGGAAAAGAGAACAAATTAAAAACATAACTATAATGACAAACATAGGGCCAGCAAATAGCTCAGCGGATTAAAGCGTCCGCAAGCAGGCACAGGGGCCAGGGATTCTATCCCGGGCCTGCCATGCCAGGCCCGCCCCGGGCACACTGAGATGGCAATTGAGACTGGGCGTGGTGACACACACCTGTAATCCCAGCTCTTGGGAGGCTGTAAACAGGCAGATCACTACAAGTCTGATCTAGTAGTGAGACCCTGAACACCCTGTAGACCCTTCCCTAAAATAGATAAATACAACATTATAGTGTTAGAACCCACAGCAAAATGTTCCAAGTTTAGAAAGCAAAATACCTTTTTATTTTTGTATTCAGTACAGGGTCTCACTACACAGACTGGACTCGTAGTGATCCTCCTATTTTCAGCCTCCCAAGCACTGGGATTACAGGCACACACCACCATGCCCAGTCTCAATCACTGTCTTAGTGCCCCAGAGGCAGGGCCAGCACGCCTGGGGTGAAGCCCAGTCCCTGCACCTGCCTAAGCGGGTACTTTAGTCCTCTGAGCTATATGGAGGGCCAGGCCCGTCATTCCCCTAAATCCATTGTTTTGCATTATGGAACCAAGTTCCCCTTAACTCACTGGTCTTATTTTTACAAATTCACCTTTCACCTGAGTATCATCCTTGGCCTTGTACTCGGTGCTCTTAATGGCCAATTCCACACCGTAGCCAGAGAGGTGAACTGGCTCCTTCCCCGGAGTCTGCAGGTAGAGCAATTATTTCATCAATATCACCTAACTCATAACAAAATGCACTCAACACAGCTTGTCAACACTGCCTCTAGCAGATATCACCAGGGATTATGTAATCAGAACATGTTTTACAGATACTATGTATACAACAGAATTTATTAAACACCAACATTATCAGCACTTACCTAACATTAAAATACTATTCTGTTTTTTAAAATATCAACTCAAAGTCTGATTTTCTATAGTTTTGTTTATATTTTGTATCCTGTCCCAACTGTGGAACTGAGAATTCCTGGGTAGAAACAATATTTAGATTTTTTCAGAATGGATGGAAGGACAAAGGTTCAAACCATGTGAAGATATACAGAATAAGAAGCAAAGGTGTAGACCACGCAGAGCAAATCTGAAAACTGAATTGCTCTGTTAGGATTAGGCTGGCCATGTCAGTCTCACTACCATCCTAATGAGGATGGCCCTTGAATTTTAACCTGCAACACTAGCACTGGGCCTGGGGGTCTGAGGGGAAAGAGGCATTTTCAAAAACTGAACTTTCTTAAATCAGTTTCTGCTCATTCAAACTGTCATATAAATTTTTTTTTAATTTGTGCAGTCTAGTCATCTATTTACGGAACTTACTATAATATATAAACTTTAAAGGCTAACAATCTTTATACAAAAATATTTTAAATGCTAAGTGGTTTTTTTTTTTTTTTTTTTTTTGGAACCGGCGATTGAACTCAGGCCCTTGCACTTGAACTCAGGCAAGCTCTTATTCTACTGAGACATCTCCCCAACCCCCTTAAATGCTAAGTAATGCAAACCAAATTCTAAATCAGTTCTGCCTGATTTCACCTCATTTTAGAAATGGCATCAAATGAATGGTGCCAAAAATAAAAAAGGGAAAACAAAAAGCGTTGAAAAGAAACTGAATTCAAGCATCAATTCTGTATTTCATGACATTAAATTTAGAAGGGGTGTGTGTGTGTGTGTGTGTGTGTGTGTGTGTGTGTGTATTCATTTTGAAATAAGATCAGGGCTTTTTTACTGGGGGGATTGGGTCTCATTATGTAGTTCAGTTTGGCCTTGAACTCATTACGAGCCCAGGCAGGCCTCAAACTGGAGGATATCTACTGCCTTAGCCTCCCAAGTACTGGGATTACAGGCATATGCCACCAGCCCCAGGAATACTAGGCCACTTCTTAAGTATAATTCACATTTCTTCAGAAAGGCAAGCAAGGTAGTGGCATTTTAGACCTAACAAAAAGTACTGAGGGGCTAGGGAGATAGCTTGGAGGTCTAAACACCTGCTGGCAAGTGTAAGGACCCAGGTTCAATGCCCGGTACCACAGAGCACTCCATGCCAGCCACCAAAACCAGGCGTGATGGCAAAGATCTGTAATCTCAGTTCTGGGGAGGCTGAGATAGGAGGATCACTAAGAGTCCAAGCCACACAGCGAGACCCTATACCAAATAAATAAATAAATGATTGATTTTTAAAAAAAATTAAAGAAAAGCACTGAACATCTTTTTCTTGAACATCTTTAAAAAGTAGTTCAAATAACTGAATTATTTCATAAAGAAGTAAATTATCAGCTGATGTTCTAATGTCATGTTGGACAAATTAATATTCAAAAGAGTTGTAAGATAAATCAATACTTACAGATATATAATGTCTGAATACATAGTTGATTTTGCCCGCATTGCTTTTTGACACAAGTTGATGGTGGAAACTAGAAAATTCTTGAAGGCCTATCTCTGAGTAGAAAATCACCACTGGGCTCTCAGGATTAGACGAGGGATATCTGTGATCTCCTTTGAACAACAAAGGTTTGGGTCTGGAAATAAATATTACAATCTATAAATTTTCAACACAAAAAATTTAAACATTTAAAATAGCAGACAAAATGTCAAGCACTGCTATAATTTAAGATTACAAATATCTTAATATAAAAAGCATCTCAGTCTTAAAACAGTTTTCACTCACATTGTCGTTGAGTCATTCATGACAATAAAAATTAAAAGTATACTACGTAAATACTGCAAATGCAGACTTGTATTAATAATTGCTAACAATTCCTAGTGGAAGTATGCAATGTGTAAATTATTGAAACTGTCCTATCAATTTGGTTTGAAACTATCTCATTGCTATTGTTTCTCAATAAAATTATGGAAAAAAAAATATTAAAAAAAAAGAAAAAAAAAAAAAAACAATTCCTAGTGGAAGAAAACCAGGGCAGAAAAAGAATACATATCCAAACCTCAAGGTACTAAACCTATAGTATTTTTTTAACCATATAGAATATGATTATCCTCTTATCTGAAATACAAACACAAATAATTCACAAAGCACAAGAAAACTTTTAGCATATAAATTACCAATTTATATGGTCTCTCCTCTTCCATTTTTACTATCTATTTACTTATCTTTTCTGAGACAGGGTTTCACTATGCAGTTCAGGCTGGCCTTAACTGACTTTTTTTTTTTTTTTAAAGTTTTGCTTTTTTTTTTTTTAATATTTATTTATTTATTTATTTATTTATTTATTTATTGTGTGGCCAGCTCAGCCCACCAGGGGGCGAGCAGGCCAGCATGTGGTGCTGGGGGATTGAACCGAGGTCTCTGTGCTTTGCTTGAGCTTAGCTTGTTCTAAGTAGGTGCTTTAGACCACTGAGCCATCTCACCAGCCCCCTTAACTGACTTTGTAACCTTGAACTCCCAACAATCCTCTGGCCTCCACCTCCTGAGTAGTGGGATTACAGGCATGCACCAACATGCCCAGCTTTACCTTTTTATTATGATGGGCTCACTAGTTGTTGTAATTTCAGCTTTTCTTACAAACTTTTCAAAAAACAATAACAAAAAAGCCTTCTCTGGAGTGACATTAAGATTCTAATGGATCAGGCCAGAGATACAATTTAGTGATATAGCACCTACCTGACAAATACAAAATTCAATTCTTAATACCAAAAAAAAAGATTTTAATGTATCTTGATGTGTAGCCTACTAATCTCTACTGTGATAAACTATTTGACAGATGGTAAAGATATCCATTATAGCCTTACAATAGCAAAAAGTAAAAAGCAAAAGGGTTGAAAGGACCTCACAAGCCACCAGTACTTTATTCTTCATAGGTTATGATGCATGTGTTAAATATACCAAGGTACAGCTACTTGTGCTAAATGAAACGTTGCCTCTTGCAAAAATAATCTTATCTACTTGTGAATTTAAAACAAAGGACAGCACAAATGCAACATTAAAAAGGAGCTACCACCTCTCAGAAAGATGACACCAGTACCTTTTCTTTATCAAGACCACATTGTGGCTATAATAAAGTTTTAAAGAACTACAAAGTCATCACTTTTCCCCCAAGAGAGTACTATTCAACCACAGCCCTATTCTCAAGTGCTGACAGCTGGTTGGCACTACACTGGGTTTATTAGCTGTCGGGCAGAGGAAGGAGCACTAATGCCACACGAGGGGCAGAGGACACGTAATGGGCATTCTTTCACACCTCTACATGTCATATTATAGCAGCTTTGGAGGGGATACAAGGGACCAGACAGCAAAGCAGACACCTAATTCAGCCCTCCACCACACGGAACGTACGGCTCTTAAGGCAAAAACACCTAACTCATAAAATACCAATTTTACATTTGAATCAGCTTACAATCACTAATGAAGTTGGCTTCTCTGAATCTATTATTAACACAATCAGAGAACACTATCATTAATATCATTACTTCAGGCATTGGCTTTCATACATAGTACTCCGTACAAAACTAATAACAAAACCTGCTTAATCTCACAAATAGCCATTACTAAATTAATGTAATATCAAATACTCTTACTGTCGCCATTTGAGAGAAAAAGAAAGTAATTGGTCCTATTTCACAAAACTACTTTAAGCGATGGAGCTGAGAGGTATATCTAGTCACTCTGAATCTAGAATCCATTCTCTAAACTATTACACCTAAGACTACAAAACTGGTAAGAAAAGTCAGAAGGTAGACTCTACAGAAGAGTAAGGAGATACTTGGGATTTTTTCAGTGGAGGTCTTTTTGAGACAGGGTTTCACTATGCAGTTCAGGCTGGCCTTGAGCTTACTTTGTAGCCCATGCTGGCCTCAAACTCAAAGCAATCCTCTTGCCTCAGCCTCTAAGTGCTGAGATTACAGATGTGTACCACCACACCTGGCCACAGCATTTAAAGAAGAAACATACAACCTACCTTTCAGGTGCTGTTATTAGAAGAGTCTCCAGGACATCAAAATCACAAGTCTTCTCTCCATGCACTGAGAAAAATGAATTACATTCTTCTGGTGGTGGTTCATTAGCTGCTATCTGTCACGTAAAACACACACAAAAAAATGTACCACATGCTAGCTAACAAAGCAAACCTAAGTAAATGATCAAGAATAGAAATTTTACTGCGCATATTATCAGACCACCATGCAACGAAACTAGAAATCAAAAGCAAAAGAAAGTAATTATGCAAATATGTGGAAATCAAACCACATATTTATTCAAATCAATGGGTTACAGAAGAAATTAAGAAAGAAATAAGATAGATCCCAAATTAAATAATAACGCCAATATAACACACCAGAACTTACGCCAATAAAACTTGCACCAGAACAATACACCAGCACACAAAGAAAGCAGTCTAGGCTGGCATGGTGGCACATGCCTATAGTCCCAGCACTCAGGAATCTGGGACAGGAGAATCCTTGTGAATCTGAGGCCAGCCTGTGCCAGAATGTGTTCAAGGTGAGTCAACTGCATAGAATGACTGTCCTACAAGGGACATTTGCAGCAGTGAATATTCACCTCAGAAAAATAGAACAATCTAAGTCCTAAAACTTGTAAAAGGAAGGAAATGATACAGTTCAAAACAATGAATGGAAGGGCCAGCCAAAGAGCTCAGCAGATTAAAGCGCCTGCAAGCAGGCGCAGGGGCTAGGGGTTCAATACCCGGGCCTGACCCGGAACGGTGAGACAGCAATTGAGACCGGGCGTGGTGGCACATGCTTATAATCCCAGCTCTTTGGAGGCTGTAAACAGGTGGATCACTACAAATCTGATCTAGTAGTGAGACTCTGAACACCCTATGGACCATTCCCTAAAAAAAACAAAAAAAAAGAACAATTAATGGAGGCCAAAAAGAAATAAAAAGAATCAATGAATCAAAGAATTGGTTCTTTGAAAGAATAAACAAAAGAAACCTTTAGCCAGTTGTACTTTAAAAAAAGGAAAGATGCAAATTAATTCAATGGACAGTACTGAAATCCAGAAAATTACCAGCAACTACTTCACAAACACAGGTGCCAAACAATTGGGAAATCAGAGGAAATGGAGGAATTCCTAGATACCTATGATTTGCCAAAAACTGAACTGATACTTAAAAATCTTGAATAATCTAAAAACAGGCAATGAAATGAAGCTGAAACAAAGAAACAAATAAAGCACTACTGACTAAGAAAAGTCTAGAACTTGAAGGATTCACAGTCAATTTCTACAACAATTTCCCATACATTCTAACATCAATATTCCTCTAAAATTTTAATGAAATTGGAGGGAATACTTCCAAAATCATTCTTGGAAGCAAACATTATCCTGACCACAAAATTAGACAAAGATACCCAACCAAAAAAGAGAAGTACAGATCAATTTCTCCAACAATCAGAGATGCAAAACTCTTAAACAAAACACTAGTGAACAGGGCCGGGGAGATGGCTCAGTGGAATAACTACTTCCCTGGCAAGCGCAGGGGCCTGAGTTCAATCCCCGGTTCCACCAAAAAAAAAAAAAAAAATACAAAACACTAGTGAACAGACTGCAATAAATCATAGAAAAGATTATGACCAAATAGGCTTCATTCCAGGGAAGCAAGGATGGTTCAACATACATAAATCAAAATATGTAACTTATCACATAAACAGACGCAAGGACAAATATCACATGGTTATTTCAATAAATGGAAAAAAAGGTTTTGACAGTGCTGACATACATTCATGACTTTAAAGACTCATAACTCACCAAGCACTAACAAAAACTAACAAAAACAGGTATAAAAGGTCTTTATCTCAACATGATAAAAGTCATTTGTGATTGACCTACTGATAGCATCATATTAAATTGAGAAAAATTGAAAACTTTCCCTGTTAAGATCAGAAGCAAGACAAGAATGTCCATTATCACCACTCCCATTCAATATAGTCCTCAAAACATTAGCCAGAGCAATCAGGTAAGACAAATAAAAGGAATATGTGTAGGAAAGGATGAAACTGAAGCATCATTATTTGCAGATGAACCTTTACAAAGAAGACCCAAAAACTCCACCAAAAATTCCTACAATAGATAACAAAACTTGGCCTTCCTATATACTAATAATGATCAAAAGTAAAAGCAATTACAAAAATGCCATTCACAATAGCATCCAAAAAATTTAAATACTTAGGTATTTACCTAGTGAAGTGAAATACCTATAAAAAAATGAAAATTATATCACTCTGAAAAAGAAAATTGAGGAAAACATCAGAAAATGGGAAGATATTCCCTAATCCTGAAAAGACAGAACCAATATAATCAAATGATTATACTTCTAAAACTGATAAACAGATTTAATGCAATCCCAATCAAAATACCAATGCCATTTCACACAAAGTTAGAGAAAACAACCTAAAAATTTGTATGGAATTATAAGAGACCCAGAGTAGCAAAAGTAATTCTGGGTAACAGAAGCAAAGCCAGTGGCATCACAACCTGAGATTTAAAGTTACATTATACAGTTATTGTGTGCGATTAAAACAGTATGGTATCAACACAAAAACAGATACGTGGATCACTGGAGCAAAATACAAAAAGCACAAATAACTCCAGGTACATACAGCTATTTGATCTTTGACAAAGAGCCAAAAACATAGACTGAAGGAAAGATAGTGTCTTTAGTAAAAGGTGTTAGGAAAACTGGATATCCACCTGGAGAAAATTAACTCCAGACCCATATATTTCACCATGCATTAAAACTAAAATTCAAATGGATCAATATTTAAATGTTAAAACAGAATCACTTAATCTTCTGGAAGGTAAAATATGTACAACTCTTGAAGACATAGGTGCAGGCAAGAATTTTCTGAACAAAACCTCAATTGCTCTGACTGACCTTATCAGATAGAAAAATTACTTTTCTTGTTATAGAGATCTTGCTTTATCTTGGTCTTAACCATCCAGCAGAAAAGTATAAAAAAGTATAAAAACTAAAGCCATATTAATATACTGAGCTGTAAAAGGCTCAAGTCAACAACTTCTAACATTGTCAGTCCTACAGAAAACCCACTACTATGATGGACTACTGGACTATATTGGATTATTTTGCTGAATTCATGCACCTACAATATTTAAATGATAATGGAATAATATCCTTCTCTGACAAAACTAACCAAAAAAGGGGGATACAAATGAACAACCATTTTGTATCTGTATATTCAAAATAGTTAGGGTAGATATACAGCTGCATTCTCTTAATTCAGTAAGATTTGTTCGAATACTGTTTGTGAATAGGATATCATGTCTGCATCTTGTACAAGGAATAGCCACTAGACAACAATATGCAATGTATTAATTATTGAAACTGTGCTAGTAATTGGTTTTGAAACTGTCTCATAGCTACGTTTCTCAATAAATTAAAAAAACAACAACAAAACCTCAATTGCATAAGAAATAATACCAATAATAAATAATTGGGATCACAGCAAAGGAAACAATCGAGTGAAAAAATAATCTACACAATGGGAAAAAATTTGTCAGCTATTCTACAGGCAGAGGACTGGCATCAAGAATATATAAAGACATACTTAGGAGGCTGAGGCAGGACTGCCAAAAACTCAAAAGGGGGGAGGGTGGACATTTCATTGGATGAAAGGATGGATGTGGTGGGGAGGAGAAATGTGAAAGAGAAGCTCTTGAGCACTAAAGAGATGTATTCATCCTAGGCCCAAGGCATCAGTGTTCTGTGGCTTCCAACTAAACTCCAGCTAAGGTCACTCACTACCAAGAGCAGTGAACTGCTATGGCTACAACAGAGAACATGAAGGGACAAGTTTTATTGTTGTTGCTTCCTTTTCTGATTTATTTAAAGAAGTCACAAAGTAAGTACAAACCCAGGGAAGGTTTCTGGCAGCTTGTGGACCACCCATGGTACAGGGAAAGTCAGTTCACCAGAGGTCACATAGTGCTTCCATAATTCACCTGACCTCAGCCTCCCCACTCCACATGCATGGGAGCTGCAAATTCAAATACTCCTCAGGCTACAGCAAGTAATGAAAGAAATAAAGCAGCTCAGGAGAGGAACATATTGAATTGGGAGAACTGTCTCAAGTTCCAGCTGATGTGGCTTTCAGGAAATATGATAGTGTTTCCATATTTGCCAGTTGTCACAGAAGCTGGTAAATATATCTCACCTCCTCAATTTAAAAACAGTGACAACTGGGGCCGGGGAGATGGCTCAGTGGAATAAGCGCTTCCCTGGCAAGCGCAAGGGCCTGAGTTCAATCCCTGGTTCCGCCAAACAAAAAAACCACAATGACAACTAATTTCATTATCAAGAGAAAATACTGTACAGATCAGTGGGTAGAAAAGATTGTGGTAGCCTTTGTAGACAACTGAAAACTGAGACTAAAGATGAAAACAAGTATAGATAAGCACTTAAATTTCTTAAGGAGGTACAGGTGAACCTTTTTTTTTTTTTTTCACTCAGGGTTTCACTATGTAGAACAGCCAGGCCTTGAACTCCCCTATACTCCCTAGCTGGTCTTGAACTCATAGGAATTCTACGTTAGCCTCCCAAGTGAGAGGATTACAGGCATGTACCACCACATCTGGGGGTTTCAGATTAACCATTCTGAAAACTACCAAATGTACGTATAGAAAAGCGGGGGAGGGTAAATTTTTTTGAAGTATTTTATTTATGTATTTATATTTGGTGCAGGGCCTCGCTAAGCAGCTTGCACCACCATGCATAGTTTCAGTGGCCAGTGCAGCATGCCTTTCCAGGCAAGCGTGGCATGTGGTACCAGGGACCAGTCCTTGCCCAGTCCTTGTGCTGCCAGGCAGGTGCTTAAAGGGAGGGTAACTTTGTAATAGAAGAACAACCTTAGCCAAGTGATCAAGGTCAACATCAGCAGGCTAAACCCTGTTGACAGTAGGTACTTTCTACCATTGTGCCACATCCTCGGCCCATGTACCCCTCCCTGATCACGAGTGTGATGAGAATGACTCTCCACCCCTGCAATCCTCCTTATAAAAACTATGAAGAGCACACCAGATAAGTCCAAATCCAGTGA